AGAGAGAGAGAGAGAGAGAGAGAGAGAGAGAGAGAGAGAGAGAGAGAGACTTTAAGATTGAAGTGACGAAGCACACTGTAGCTTCTCTCTCATTCAGCCGCGCTCACTTGCTCGTTACAAATGGCGGACGGTCCTAACTCTGAGGAACTCGAGAGGAACTCTAATCATCGCACCGAAGCACAGTCCGGCATTATCGTCCTCTCGCCGTTGCCGTCGCCAACGGCGTTTCGCAAGGACGGCGCGACGTCGACGACAGCGGTTGCATTTGCGTTTCTCCATTAGCGGGATTCGTCATGGCGGCGCGGCCACCGTCTGAAACGCGGACGTAAAACCGCGCCCGGCACCCACCCGTAAAGCCCTTATCTCCGCGCCACTTCCTTCCCCGACGCCTTTATCTCGCTTTTCACGATCGTAAGGAACGCGCGAGACCGCACGGACGGCCGTTCGAGCCCGAGACACGCCATCACCGCCGCCACCAGCCCTCTCTCTCCAGGAAATTAACAGTTTTATTATAACAAACAATCCAGCTGCCGGATTTTTCGCTCTTTTCCTTCCTAGATATCGCGAGGCGTTCTTCCACGAGACGACGACTGTACTTATATCGTCACACCCTCGCTTCTGCGAGCGATCGCAGAAGAAAAGGTGATGATGGCGGTGGTGGTGGTAGAGGAGGGGAAAGGGGGACACATGTAGCAGAAACGCGACGAAAGTCGCCCCTCAGAGCCGCGATATAATATCCATTGATTTTTGCGTTGCCGCCGGGGCTGGGGTGTCGGGCCTGACTACTCGCGGCGAGAAGGAGGGAGCTGGGGGCGTAGGGGAGGGTGTTAATTTCCGTTTAGGGAGCGTTAGAGGGTGGCAGACTGGCGAGATGCTGCGGCGCGGCTGTTAAGATAAGATAACCACTTAGCCATCGGGATTCTACGCGAATCTTCGCCGCCACCGCTGCCGCCGCTATCACCCCTTTTCGCACTGTGTCTCACCCCGCGTACACACGCATGCAGCGGCAACCGCAAGTGTGTATCTCGCGGTCGCAAGTTCTCTGCTTCTGTGTCTCTTTCTCTTCGCCTTCCCCTCCTCTCTCTCTCTCTCTCTCTCTCTCTCTCTCTCTCTCTCTCTCATCCTCTTTCTCCCTCGTCGCTCTAATAACACGAGGAGGACGCATGTAACGCCTCTTTCTCCATTAGAGCTATCTAGAGTCCTGTCGCGACTTCCTGCGCCCTTACCGGGGCACTCGAAGCGACGAGCGCACTGCGTCGACGACGACGTCATCGTCGTCGACGGCTCGTAGCCTCCCGTTGATCGGACGCCCGAAACGGCCCGTCGCACGGCGTGGCGGCGGGCGGTTTGGCGGAGGTATTGCTATTGCCGCCGGTGAGATGGTACCTAGTTTGCGGAACGACCTTGCTTATCGTCGCGAAAATGGTCTGGCGAGGCTGTAACGACGCGATCCTCGCCGACGAGGAGAGGAAGAAGAGCGGGCGAAGAGTCAGAGACAAACTTGACGCGGTCTTCCTGACCAAAGTGGCGATGGTCGGTCAGGAATTGGCGCTTGATTAGGCGAATATCAGTGACCCGGCGATGATCGAGGTGACCGAGTTCCTCGCGACGCGCGCCACTCTCGACTTTTATCGCCGTGAGATAACTGCGAGTTTATTCCCATGCCGTTGGTCTAGCGTGAAATCTATCTTTCTCCTCGCCTTCCTCTTCGTCATCTCTCTTCCTCTTCCTCCTCCTGCTCATCTTCATTCTTTCCGCGAAAAAGTCTACTACACGTGCGCGGGACTGCTAAGAATTTATTAATACACGAAGTTACGAAAGCATCATTAACCGGGAGCGCGTCGTGCAATATGTAGAGCGACTTGAAATAACTCGCTTATTTTTAATGACGGAAAATAACGCCGTGTAAAAATAAACCGCTCACTATCGGCCGGCTCATTAAGTGTTTTCCTCCGGCTTCGCCTCGCCCCTCGATATATCGAGGCACGCGATTAAACGGCTTTCAGGAAAATAAAATTCGCCCGGCTCGACGCGACGTGTGACATTTTCAAAGGTGCCACACATGCATTCATCGGCTCGCTGAGAATTATCCGTCGCGTGCCATCGATAAAATACTTTAGTCATAGAAAAGTGGACTGAATAACTTCCACTCATATTGCGTGTGAAGCTTCTTTAATCTTAAATCGCCAA